ATGCACTAGCCCTCAAAACCGAATTCCATGGTTGTGTGGGGACAAAGGCCGACAAAGCTGGATGGGAGGTATGAAAAGCTTCCTGTTTTCTCTTTTCTTGGGACCAAAATTCTGTCCGATACCTGATATCTGCTTGAGCTGCCAAGTGCCACACGTCCGGGTGTTGAAGAACTCTGGTACGGAACTCTGCAGCGTACCTGTCCAATGTTGCAGCTGTAGCTAACTGTAGCATCAATGCACCCGTGCGAAAAATTCGCCAAGACTCTTCCCAAGCGTCTAAATTTGCTGCTCCAGGTAGCTCCACTGCTTTCCACTCGCCGTCCCGCCATTGCTGGGAAACGAACCGCATTGCACGCGCGATTCTGTCACCATGCGGCCCCCACACCCCAATATCCACAAAGGGCGGTTGACCTGACATCAGCTTGTGGTGAAGGCAGCTGAGCTGTGCATCCGTGACTTCTTCTTTCTCCAATGGATTGTCCCCTTCTGCTACCACAAACTGTGCTCTCAACTTCTGAAGTGTGGTGCCAGGCAGCATTTCAACTTCAATGTCAACTCCTTGACCAATCACCTGGTTCATCTTCACTTTGATCTTGGCACTCCCTGACCCTGTGGCGTTAGCCGTAGGGATCGCCGGTGGGGGAGATGCCAAAGCTGTGGAAAACAACAAAGGGGCTCCGAACTTCACACGCACGGCTGACTGCACCAACCTCCACTGTGCCTTTTCAGTCTCTGTAAGGTGCCTATCACCCCTAGTCGCTGCTACAAGGGTTGCTTCAAAGACCTCTACTGGGATAACTGCCAGGACCTGCAATGATGTCAATGCAGGATCGCCCAACTGGCGCGTTACACAACGCACCAACCCAGCTTCAAGGCCGCCCCAAGTGGCAGCGTCGACGATACTTCACCACGTGTCTAACGTGGCCCGATCGGGCACAAGACCCTCCATCACCCCCCACCTAAAGTCACAAAGATAAGGAGGGGGACCTTGAGCCAAAATGGTACAAGGTTCAAGATCCCCCCCTCCCACCCAAAACAAATTAACTGTTTATTGTTACTGCGACCATTCTGGTCTCCACAGCAAACATTGTTACTACTATATAGTAAGGCACTTGTTCCTAGTAGCGATGCACTTGTCCAGTTGGTCCTCGGACCGCCTTGACGGTCACCGTGGGCCGCGGCGGGGGACCTTTTTCCATCACCTGCAGAGGTCCATCATACGAGCTCGTATCGTGGGCAAGTATGGCACCTGTGAAACCGTGACCACCTTGGGATACGAAGTACTGAAGTACTTGGATTGAACCAGTTCTGTACAACTGCAAAAGCCTTGGAAAGCTTTTTTGTCCAAGAACGAGGGAAGGAGGATGGTCAAGATCAGCAAAACGCACCATTGGACCAGTGGAGAGATTAATTTCGGGATCTGTTCATCTTGACCGTGCCTCACCAAGCGCAAAAAGAATCACCAGGTGGATGCGGCTCCAAACAAGACTGCTCTCTTCCGTTCGGGCGCCATATCCAAGTCACAAAGGGCATCCTGTACACTTCTGGCCCTTTCACATTTACAAGTTGGATGGACATTAGCCATCCATATTAGGGAGGCCGCACAGCCTCTTCCTCTTCCACTTCACCAGTAGACCATTTGCACAGCTTCTTTCAGGTCCAATAACTCAGAGCGTCGTTGTTCCGGGATTTGGCCCAGCGCGGTCCAGAAGGACACCACGATCTTGATGATCCACACCTGCGCGGTCGCTGCCCGGTCTGTGCTACATGCTGCATGCCCTGCCCCTCCCAAAACCACTGTGTTTTGCATGAGATTTGATCTTGCAAGTCATGAACAACTTGGAATGATTTCCTGTGAGGACACGCTCAAGATGGTAAGAAGCATCATTTGATGTTCAGAAAGTAAGTCCCGACGTGTGCCAGGCCTGCAGGATGGCAAAAATGATGTTCCAAAGCCACAGGGTGTAGATTGCCAAAGCGATTTCAACTCCAGCTTTCAGGAAGCAAAATCCCAAGTAGACCTCAACTGCTGCTGGAGGCCATTGCTATTAGGTTGGAGGAGAAGTATGACCAATGATCGCCACAATGGTTTTCGATCATGCCGAAACAGCCACAGTTCTTCGTTGCCCAGGTGCTGAGACCAGCTTCCGGTTCAAGTGCTTGGCTCCAAGCAAGCCACTCAGGGGGCCAACCAAGAAGATCGCCAGCAAACACCAAAGAAGTCCCCACCTTTACTCTGTGTCCCGATGGTTGGATGTCGGTGTTTTGCAACCTGTTATCCCTTCCTTCTACGGTTCCTTCTTTTGGACCCTTCAGCCCTTTTTTTCATATCATCCTTTCCGCTTTGACCTTCCGCTCATTCGCAACAAATACGACCTTGGCTGAGGACATGTTTTGGTTTGGCGCCTTGTGCTCACCAGTCCTGCGACCATATTCAGGAGGGTGGAGAGAATGTCCAACGTCGCGAAGCACATCACGGCGGTTCGGTAATTGAGGACCACCTGCTCCTTTCGTCGAACTCAGAGAAGACATGACAGAGAGAGAGAGAGAGAAAAAGAAAAAGAAATCATTTGTTTCTCAGAAAGGTGTCATACTTTCTAATCCCGAGTTACTATTAATAAACGTACCCCAATTCATAAAAACACATGTGCCCGACCCCAAAAAATTGTTAGTAGCGTTTTGAAATTGCTCCCTTTGAAATTCAATACTCGTGGGTCCACAGTCGGGGGTGCCCCAGATTTTAGGTGTATTAGGGGGACAGCAAAAATAACCCGAATTCCCCCTAATATTAAAAACATCTCCAATCCTCCCCAAAAAATACCTCTCTCCCTCTCTCTCTTCGGCGAGACCGCGAGACCCTGGTTCTCCCTCTCGCGCTCGCTCACTGTCGGTCCGAACAAAAAAGAAGCACTGTGCCTTATTAGGTTGACCCTTTCCGAAAAACTACCGGAGGGGGAAGACCTTCGATTTGACCCTTTTTAGCTTTTTTGATGGTCGTTTTATAAAGGATTTTATATAGATTTGGAACCCATGCTTTTTCCATGTTGCCTCCTTTCCAAGATCCATTCTTGCTGTTTTGTGGCCCCCTAATACTAAGCAGGAGTCTGTGCCAATGTTCCTAATTAATTTTGCTTTCCTGATTGCGCTATCCATTGCTCTTTGCAGCGATGTGTTTTCATTCATTGGGTGCATCAACAGTTGGTCTAGGAAACCAACAAGAGGGGGAAGACCTTCGATTTGACCCTTTGTTGTTTTTTTGATGGTCGTTTTAACAAGGATTTTATATATATAATTAATTAGATTGGGAACCCAGGATTTTCTTTCGAGACCCTACTTTTTATTAGGGCGAACAGAACATTGCCCATTTGGGGGTACAACAGGTGCCCCTCAATAATAAACACCCCCTATTAGTAAAAACACCCCAGGGTTTTTATTAATAGGGGGGGGGGGGAGGGGGCCCCGTTTATTATTAGGGAGAGGGGATTATGTGTCGAGCTCATTAGATCTCTGTGACCTCTCTCACTCTTTCGCCAAAGCATGCCTCAGTTGACAAAGCTGCTACGGACACCACAATAGCTTCAATGGCACCCATCTGCGGAACACCTTTCAAGGCACAACGGTTCGAACTGCAACTTCAGCCTCAGCTACTTCCGGCTGATCCAGATCAGTAGCAGATGTGTGTAAATTATGCTATTAGGTTGGAGGCCATTGCCATTAGGTTCCTTTTGCTATTAGGATAGTTAAAAAAGAATGAATCGCTTCGCGGCCTCTCAGAGTGGATCCCGCCTATTGGTGTTCCCTGCACCGGCTGCACTTCGCCCTTTTCGGCAGCAGAGGCCCTGCAAGAGGCAACAAACAAACTGTTTAGTGCATTCTTGTAGGTGCAAGGCCATCGTGATTCAATGGCGATGGCCTCCATCCTAATTGCGATGGCTTGAAAGAAACATGCCAGCAAGTCCTTGTGGATGCACTTGAGGGCTGGTCAAGCCAGCCGTTCTCGCTTTGCCGTGCTTCTCGTCTCACTCACTCACTCACTCACTCACTTAGTCACTCACGACAATCTATGTTCACCGTTTTGCTGCCCTCCTCCCCTCATCATCTGCATACACCCGCTTCTTTCTGCATTTCCTCTGTGGTGCTTCGACAGAAGCTGTGGCTATTCCCTAAAGCGTGAAAGAACCACTAATCACTCAACTAAAAGAAGCTACGAAAGGCACTGCATCGAAAAGGGGGGTCTGAGCCCCAGCAAGATCCAAGTGGCCAACTCGAAGCGCTTGGAAAGACGTGGGTCTTTCCAACTAGAATCCGCAAGGCATCCCAAGTCGTCGGAGACAAAAGAACCAAGATGCCAACAAAACACAATGAAAGCATTTCATTTGCTCTGCACCCATTGGAAGAGGAAAGCACACACAAAACTCACAGTCAAGCCATGCGAACAAAATGCAGACATAATTGAGCAAGACTTGCAGCACGTGTGAGATCACACGCTAACAATCGGCAAAACAAAGCTCGGGGGCGAGAAGGGGAAATCCAACGTGCGCCTGTGAGGTGGCGCTCTGAACAGTGCAAGACTTCGAAGGGCCTATCAGAAACCAAGAATGGGCATTGGTCTACTCCAGGCACCCACAAGCTATAGCCTAACAGTCCCAAATGCTTACAGATCTTACAGTGCTTGACAAAGCTTGCGGGAAAACTTTCTTCCACTTTTGACTCCACTTTGTTATAAACACAAAAGCTTCACATCTGGAGTTATCCAGCCTTTAATCTTTTGAGTTTAACCTACTTAAACCTCAGCGTTCATCTCTCTCCATCGGAAAGAGCGGCCTATCATCCGCAGTCATCATGGCGAGCCGGCGAGTCCTGTGGGCTTGGCACTTTTCTCTTGAGCCCACGAAGCTGAATCTGAGAAGATGGAAGCTGATCGGAATGTGACTCGACTAGACCAGAAGTTCATTGAGAGGTCAAGCTTGCAAGGGTGCAAAGCGCAAACCTTTTTGCTCTCACTTGTCTGTGGCACCTTTCGCAACGACTTCATCCCAGTGCGGGCGGAAAGCCTTGGACAGCCCCTTTCCAAAGAGAAAGTTTTTCAGATGTCTTCAGTCCAGTTACTTCTCACTCTTCTTTTTGCAAAGGCATTCATCAAACTGTCACCAAGAAGCATTGTAGACTCGGGTACGGTTGTTGGCAAACCACTCATCGTCCTCCCAAGCACGCCGGACTTGAACCGAATGATTTGTAAAGCAGGAAATTGCAAGCGAACAGGCTTTGCAAAACATTCGGTTCATTGAAAAAGCCTCAACTTGATCTTCAAACCTTTCGCGAAGCAACCCGTCCCGCTCACTGTGGAACTGCCGGAGCCACCGCTCAAAAGTGTCCGGGCCATTCGTTTCGATCGCCTCCGCCATGGAGCCACGGACCAACTCGTAAAAGGGCCGGTTCCGCGCCTTCGAAGTATCGGGCGTTCACCGGATCGTTCGGAACGAACAGGAGTGCTCAGTAAGTGTATGTTCCGTTACGGATACTGTTGGGGCAACGCATGACTTGACTTGTGGGTTCACAAGCAAATCAAAACTAGCTGAAATCTCCTCAGACAGATTGGACCCAGAACAAGGGGGAGAAATAGAACAAATAGATATAGACAAGCTTCTTTCTGGATTCTTTGCAATCATATGACCATCGCTCTTAGGTTGGAGGCCATCACTTCTAGGTTGGAGGCAATCGCTATTAGGTTGGAGGCCAGCGCTACTGGGTTCCTTTTTCTTCTAGGTTGGAGGCCATCGTCATTAGGTTGGAGGCCATCGCTATTAGGTTCCTTTGCTTCTAGGTTGGAGGCCATTGCTCCTAGGTTTGAGGTCACTCCTATTAGGTTGGAGGCCATTGCTATTAGGTTGGAGGCCATCACTACTTGGTTTCTTTTGCTTCTAGGTTACCCCTATTAGATTGGAGGCCATCTCTGTAATAGGTTGGAGGCCATTGCTTCTAGGTTGGAGGCCATCGCTATTAGGTTGGAGGCCATCGCTGCCATCGCTATTAGGTTCCTTTTGCTTCTAGCTTGGAGGCCATTGCTTCTAGGTTGGAGGGCACCCCTATTAGGTTCGA